CTTCAAGTAAGTTTTCTCATTCTGTTGAAAGTCTCGAATATTTCAATTCGATTTGCTCCCATTTTAAATAACTGCGCTATTGGCTGCATTTTTAAATCTTTAAAAAATAGACTATACTTACAGCCTCCTTTAATTGATTCATTTTATTCTTGCCTCTAACCATACAACGACTTGATGGCTTAAATCTTTTCAATATTTCTTATGAAAAGAATAAATATATTTAATAATTGTTCGATTTAAGTAAAGAAAGAAAAGAACGTTTGCGCATTGTATGCATGTTAATGGTGTATAAATCGCTGAACGAGATAAAAAAAATTCAATCAGAGATAATTAATTGAAATTGTGATCAGGAAAATAATAATAAAAAAAAAAAAAAAAAAAAATTATACTAAAAAAAAAGAGGAAAGCAAGAGCAAGGACCAAAGGGCGAACCTTTAAAAGCAAACACACTGTGAATATCGAACATACATTTAAATTGAAATCTCACTTACTTAACCTATAACCACATCTGTAAGGAATCACTCGCGCATTACATAAGCGCACACCTACAGTTACAAAAGGTCAGCATATGCAAACAAATCGAAATATAAAACTTTCGAAACACACACATTACGTGCCATTTGCAAATTTTGCGAAAATGAAAATACATCAATATCACGGTCAACTTAACGACAATAACACAAAAATCAGTGACAATGATACAACAGGGCAAAAGTGTGTTACTGACGTGAACAATTTCACCCATAGCTCTGATGGCTCTCATACTGCGTGTATATTAACATAAGCAACATTTCGCATACGCATATATATATATATATAGCGATATAATATATCTATAAACACGTACATATAAAAGATAAATATATATATATATATATATATATATATAAATATTAATATACATACACATATACATTTCGCTTTATGATTTAATTTAAAGGCAATTTTTTTCATTTAAGTTTTGCTATTATATGAATTTTTATATTAATGCGATTACGGCGGCACAGGCATAATATGTATTTTAATTCCACTCTATTTTTTCGTAGCTTGTCTGAATAAGCTCACCCGAGCGGCAATTTTCATTGGACGAGTTCGCGTTCGGTGTAAATCTCATCGCTCCGCTCATTTTTCGGGAGACTTCTATAATCGGTTTACATCCATCGATATCGAGTGTCACTCCATTCGACAGACATTTTCGATAATAACGCTTTGCGAGTTTGTGCAAGTCGATTGATAACGAATCGAAAGAAATTGCTTACTTGCTATATTTGCAATGGAATGTTTATGATATTGGCGGTGTGTGCATAACAATACGAATGCAATTAAGCGAAAGGAACAGAAAGAAAGTAAACAATGAAATAAACAAAACAATAATGAAAGCAAATTATATTTAATTTATTAAACTATAAACTAAAGCAAGAAAGAACATTTAAAAAATTATCTCAATTAGGAAAAAAAAGACAAATAAATTGTTCCAATTTTCTGCTTACATCACACAAACAAAATTTCGACTGCAATGAAAAATCGTGCAAACATTCCAAGGACGGTCTTAAGAGGCGCAAATAACGCTCTTTCCTTACCGTACGAGTACGAGAGTAAGTTTGTGTAAAATTTTCATTTAATATAATATTCGTTAAATGCTCGAATAAAATACATTCGATTAGATTTATTGAACGATTCGGATTTTATATCATGTGGCATGACAAAATAGAGTTTAACACTAAAGCTACCGACATTTCATGTATACCTATTTCTACCGTGAGCGGTCAAATGACCGCGTCAAAAAAACATATGTAAAGTAGATAGTAAACAAAATATTTTTCTGATGCTGCAATAGAAACTCGTTCCCCGCTTTTCGATGTGGTATGTTTTATTTACTTTTATGCATTTTCATCATATTTTTTACAAATTACACCTTTTTGTATTGCACATTTTCCGCATACGTATTTTTTACATTTTATACAAATTTTGTTTGTTTTGTTGACTTTATAATATCTTATTTGACAAGATCTCCGCTCAGAAGAAGCAGTGTTTGTGTTTATTATTGTTTTTGATGAGCATTCTTGGCTTATTTCTTTTTCTTTCTGATATTCGGTCCCAAGTTCTTCTGCCAACTGAAATAAAAACGCTTGCCTCGATATTTCCTCACCCGTCGCTTCTTTATATAAAATCCAAGAGTTTATCCCGGCTAAATCTAAGATATTGAAAAAGACCTGTAAAGGCCATCTTTGAGATTTAGATTTTACACTATATTCTCTGGCCATTTGGTCGGTTACATCTACACCCAATTTTGTACTAATATAAACTCTAACTGTCTCTGGTATACGGGTGTCTTTTTTTTCAATTTCAACGGATAAATGCATTGAACTAAGTATCGATACCTTTTTATTGCGTTTGGCTTTATAAATTGTAAGAATAAAATCTTTCGATTTGTATAATATTGTTGAGAAGCGTGTCATACTATCCTTTGCCTGTCTCGCTAATTTTGGTAGCTCTCTTTTATTTCTCCGGATAGTTCCAACAAGAGTAGTTCTTTTTGATAGAAGTTCTCTCGCTAATGACACGCTTGTAAAAAAATTATCAACTGTTATATTTCTCCCATGGCCCGTATATGGTTCTGCCAATTTCAAAGTTACGAACTCTCCAAGTGGGATTGATGATTCTCTCCGTTCATCTTTTCCCAAATATGGAAAGCCGTTTACTATATATTTACTAGTTACATCGGAAGCCAGCCAAAATTTTATGCCAAATTTGTCCGGTTTGTTGGGCATATATTGAGTAAATCTACAACGTGCTTTTGTAGGAAAATGCTGAAAATGCTCTGCCCTTTATTTCGTTTCGTATTTGTATCCTGTCGGTCCTGATGTTTCCTTGAAAATATTATAAAACGATGTTCTTCCACTGTTAGACCCTTCATTTATTTTTTTCCAAACAGTTCCGTCCATAGCAGTTTCAATCTCTTCCTCATTTTCACGTTCGGAACTAACTATGAATCTCTTTCTTTTCTGTCCTCTTCGTATATTCAAAATATTCTCTTCGTCCGTATCGCTGTCAAATAAGTCACAATAATTTTCATTTTTCAATTTTTCATTTTCATCATCAGTGTCGTAAACTTCTTGATCATCTTCCGAACAATCCTCGTCGATATTATTTATTTTATCTAATAAATTGATGTTCCTCGAATGTCTTGAAATTTTGGAGGTGAATATACAAATGATAAAGTAAAAACTAAAATATAAAAATATAAATCAAACGGGGTAAAAACATTGAGACCAGAAATAAAAAACAATTGTAAATCATACCAGAAAATATTGTTGGATCTGTTGACTTTGTCGAAACTATCACTTATACCACGTAATAATTTTTCTTATAATATAATTATAATTTCTATTACACACTGAAATTTTGATGCTCTCTGTTCGTATCGCAAGACCTTACTGTCGTACAAAAAAACAGTATGTTCTTTGTTCCAATAACAACCTAAAAAATTCTAACCGCATCCTCCTAACCGTCCTAACCGTCTACATTGCAGACACATTGATTAGATTCCAGTCTACAATTACATTGCAGACTCCTAAAACAATTTCAAGAACGCGATTATCGAAGAATGTAGTCGTAAATAAAATAAATTTTTCAAGCGGTCAAATGACCGCGCCTGGTAGACTAGATATGGTATAATTTTTTTTCGGAAAATACACATTAAAAAAAGTTGTAAATATTGAAAAATAGTTTGTATGTATAGTTTAGGAAAAGTCAAGAAGATACATGATGATACAATAACGTTTTATGCGAGAAATTTTAAACGAAAGTTTAAAAACGGTCATTTGACCGCGCGTGGTACGTTTAGTGTTAAAGAACACAAGTCGGCCGCTACTTTGTCTATTTTACGATAGCATCTCTTTTTTATGTTTAGAAAGCGGCAGTTTCCAGTATGCGGTTGGATTGGAATATGAAAGAGTCCAGTGTGCGAAGGTTCATAAAAAATACTGCACCCTGCCAGGGTAGGATGACTGGAGACCCGACGCATTTAATTTCAATTACAGCTCTTGGCAAAATTTTGTTAATTGTTTGCCTGCAAGCTATTACGGAACACATTTTTGGTGAAAACTGAATGCTGGAAAATAATCTTTATGATTCATTCTCTCATTTTATGACGCCGGCAAGGTTACGCATACTTTTTTCCGCATTTTGCAGTAACATTTTACCTTATCTTCCCTTTCAATTTTTCAGTTTAAGCCGTAAGCTGTCGCATATCTTATCAATCGCTGCAAACTCATTACTCGTTTGCAATGAGTCGATAATCGACAGCTACAAACTGATCCCTTGGTTTATTCGAATTTAGGATTTTTAGAAACTTTTGAAAAAACCTTTTCGCCAACCCAATAATTGAAAGATAGTTTTATCTACTGCTCGCACTTTTATTGTAAATATAACATTATTTATCGGTTAGAAGTGAAAGTGATATTACATTTAATGCTTGAGTTATCAGCGTATGACTTTTACGAGGACATTTCGTAGAACGAGTGTTCATATTGCCACGTGACTATTCAAACTAATGGTGTCCGTTTTGTCAAAAAAAAAAAAAAAAAAAAAAAAAAAACAGATAAGCGTTTATTGTATCGCTGATGTAACTTTAAACATAAGCAATATTCGAGTCATGCGTCGTTATTTAACCGGTAGATTAGATTTTCACATAACTAAGTTGGCATCTTTGACAGCAAAAAGAATTGTAAGAAATAGGAAAATCTATAAAATAAAGCAATTGTCTTTTATAATCAAATTTTTATAAAGACTTGATAATTGATTGAAGTTATTAATGCAAAATATTTTTCAAACGTTTTTTTGAGTATATTATTGAATATATTATATTATTAAACACGTGATTTTCATAAAGAAACCAACACAAAAACTAGGTATCAAGATTAAATCAAATAAATAAATATTTGTTGTAAACGTAGTGGAAACACCCCTGATACGCAAGGCGTTTGTTGTTGTTTGGAAGGGATTTTTCGGCCAAATTAACCGCAGCACATACTGCGTGTGTGTGCGTGTGTTCATTCGAAGAAGCAAAAAATATGCAACAAGAATCCGGAGAAGATAGCTGGTATGAGGAACAGTGCCATCGTGAAATAAACGCCCAAAACGACGAAATTGAACGCGAATATGTACGACATCGTGATAGTTCCTTAAGTCAAGTGTGGAGTGCATTTCAGGACTCTGCCACGGCAGTAGCTCATCTGTACAGAGAACGATCTTCGAATATTTATCCTGACACTGGTGCTTTATGGCTTCCATTTCAAAGCGCCGCCGGAACGGTAACGAAGCTCTATGAAGAATCCTGTGAGGGTGTTAAACGCACCGGCGATGCAGCTATACATTGCGGCTATCAGAGACGTACACGCGAATTAGCCGAGTGGGCCCGTAGTGAAAAGCGGCGTATGATCCGACGTGAAGACTTATTAGCTTATTTAGCTGGCAAACCATTGCCGCCATTTACTACCAGTCATAACAATCGTCGGTCTCCCAAGCCAGAGCAATCACTTAATCATGGCAGTAATCCCGATTCCATGTGTACTACTTCGTTTAATTCCCACAATTCATTGACTCAACATAGTCATAATCATTCAATGCATCATCATCATTCTAATTATCATCATCATCCAGGCGCTCAAAATACAGCAAATGAACATTTAAATGACTTGCATACCTTTAAGGAGGCTTTAGTCCTCAAACCAAGAGGTCCCGAACTGTTCGCTTTTGTGGCCAACGAAATCGTTCGTCATTGTAAACGTCCGGCTAGTCCTATTGATGATAAAATGGACGTTTGTCATTGTAGTAGTAGTAAACGACAACGTTTCATGTAGAATTTTAATAATTAAATTCTCAACTAAAACTCATTGACTAAATATCGATAAATTAAACTTCACCTACGTATCTAAAAACAAAATTATTAGTTAATTGTAATACATTAAAACAACTACAATGACAACAACGATGTGTAACAGATTAGGTGGTTTGTGTTTGAGTAAATGTTTATCCAAAAAACTTGTACTCAAATTTCCTTTGTTTTTCTTTTCCTTTCCTCCGTCTTATCAATCATCATGTTGAAATTGTTGAGTGAAAAAAACAAAAAAAATTAAATTAAATGAAAATACATTACATGAATAATCACCTCCTTAGAATAGCCGTAACTTTCTATTGTCATCATTATTGGCAGAAAGCCTACCTTGATTATTATTATTATTCTGATTATTATTATTATTATTATTATTATTATTATCATGTTTTCTTTTTTTTGCATTTATTTCTTTATTTAAATTTATTCTTCGTTTCGTTCTCATCTTCATTTTATTATTGTTTCAAATAACCTTTCGTAAGTTCATTTCGATAATCTATATTTATTCTTTGGCTGTATATAAATCGGAATTTAAAATTAAAATGACCGCGTCAGCACTAACCCAGTAGATGTTATCATTCGAATATTAGCGAAACGAAGTTCCTGTACATCGAAAATATAAAATTTGCATAGCACTCGTTATGGCTTTAATTTGGCTTTAAAATTGCTTTTAATTTAAAAATTATAAAAACAAATTTGCTGTATATTAAAATAAATATTTCTCTACTTATCATGAATTTAGTTTTTATACATTCAAATATGTTGTGCTATGCAGGATTATCAATCACTAGCACATATGACCACAGCTAAGCAAATGCAATGGTGGCAATGGTGGCAATGGTGGCAACCAGCAGATGAAATATATTTAAAAGTGCTTGTTACAGATGTATTTTTATGTAAATAAAATATATATTAAAGTGACACAATTTTTGAGTAAACACAGCTATATACATATGTTGATAATTTACGCATATGAATATAAATATACGTGTGATATATGTTATCCGACATCATATACACATTAACATTAAGTTCAACAGCAGTAAAGTGTTGTTTCCCTTTCTTTCTCTTTCTCTTTCTCTTTCTATTTTTTTTTTTTAACATTTTTCCTTTTTTGCTTTTTTGCAGGCATCAGTAAAAAAAGGATTAAAGTTACTAAAGTGTCTGTGGTGTGTTTATGTACAAGTGAACTAGAAAATATCACGGAGTGTAAGCGAACGTAATCAGGCCCCTCTTGAAGTTGTTATTTATTTATTTTCCCTTTTTTTTTTTTTTGTTTTTTTGTTTTTTTTTTTTAATGCTTGAAAATGCTTAACATGAAGTACAAACCTAAATATATATACATATACGAATATATAGAACTCCGTAAGCGTACATATTTACACACATACATAGAGATACATATACATGGGCATTAAATATGTTTTGCATGGCAGCTTAAAATTAAGGAAAATTATATAGGTTTGTATACACTCACTGCATTATATTTATATATTCACATATATGTGGAAAAAAAAAGAATTTTGCACAATAGCGATAACAACATAGTACAGATAGCTATGCAACTACAAATTATATATAGAAAAGAAGAACGAAAAATTTAAATTAAAGATGATAGATGGTTGCATTAACTGAGTGACGGATGGGCGGACGAATATATGGATTATGAAATTCGGTTTCAGTGTTACAAACTTTGCAATATAGTTAATTGAAGCGAAATTTCTAACATACTTTACTAAAACTTTACTACTATTTCGAGGCAATTTCTTGAACTTTTTCGTGCTAACCACCAACATACTCTGAATAATTTTGTTAAATTTTTGTCAAGTCGCTTGACTTTATGTTATAATTCCTTTTTATTGTATTTTCATTTTAATATTTACTTATGTTTATTTACATTCTTGATTTCCTAAAATTATTATAATTAATTTCAAGATTTGTAACTTTTAAGATTTTAATGCTCACCTTTCACTCGTCAAATAAACCCAAGTCCGAAAAAGTTATCGTTGTTATCGTTTGTGCAAGTTCTTGAAAACCTGGCAAAAAACTCTCACTGAATCTCAAAAAAAAATTTTTTTTAATAACATATTTAATCAATTAATTGACTTAAATAGAAATGAAATTCAAAAAATTCATGTATTCAACTATTGGCTCATGGGCCTGTAACTTAATTTATAAAAATTGTTTTCCTTCTTCAAGCAGAACAAAAAATATGATAATATTATAAGAATTATATGAAATGGGAAAGAATTATAATAACAAACAGTTCATTATACCCTACACGACTCTTGTAGTAGAGGACATATATAAAGTTAATGCACTCGTATATAACACGCTGAAGGGCTTAAGATAGACGCAGCTTTCATTATACTGATCGATGAATTGATCTAAGCGTAAGTCCATCTAAATTTATGTTCAATCTACAGATCGCAATGTTTGAGATATTTCGATGAGCTGCGGTATAGTGACATTTTTTGATCCAAGGACGAACGCTGTTAAAAATGATTTGGATAGGTCCACTTTTTCGCCCACTTCCCATATAACGCTCTATTCTGAAAAGTCGTTATATGGAAAAAAGTTGCACTTCTCAACATTTTTTCAGCAAAAGTTACAAAGCAGTAAGATTTGAATATTCTAAATTGATATGAAAACTTTGGACCAGTTGGGGTAATTTTTGAACTCCCCCTCCTGTAACGAAAATTGAAATTCATACGACAAAAAGTAATAATAGTAGTTTAACGTGAAAAAATTAATTATACCAAATTTGGACCATTTAAGTTTAATTGTTGGATCCTATCCTAATAGGGTTTTTCACGAAAATTGATACTTTGTATAACTAAAATAAGATAGAATCGATAACATTTAATATGTGCTGATAAAAATTGACCCACAATAGTAATTTCATATAAAAATAAGAATTGTGTTAAACAATGTGGCGAAAGGTATTTAATGCTCGGCCTTGCCGGTCTATAATATTCTTATTAGTTTTTATTTAAGATTATATTGCAAGGTTATAATATTAATAGTTAAGCTTTAATTTTATATTTTCTTTAAAGTTATATTGTAAATTAATTTTTGCACTTTATATTTCCACTACTAGGAGATAATATCTTCAGTAGTTGAAATCTTTTTTACGGTTCGGTTGATACGAACGGTGTTTAAATTTGTCTTTTGTATTGTTGGAGTCATCGTCGAAGTCATCGATGAGCATGGCTTGATATATAAACTATATAAATAACTTAATACAATCATATATTTTCGATATTTCATGATTTTTTTTATTACATCAATTAAACTTTCATATGAAATTGTGTATCTTCCCATTTATTTCGTTTGTTTGATGATCATTTTTTTTCTTTTTTTTTTTTTTACGTTCCTTGACACGATGACGACAGAATCGTTTTTCTTTTTCATAATACTTAAGACACATAACTTTTCGAATATCACTCATAAAAGTTGAAGGTTTTCTTAGCTTATGCAGTTTTTCGTAATTTCTCTTGATTTCGAAATATTGGTCTGTGTGCATATGAGCAAATTATTAAACATGCACTGGTAAATGGAGAATACACGATATATGTGAGGCTATCCATATAAATTGTAAAATTCCGCTAATAAACTTCGGTATAAAAATATTCGGTTCTTGCAGAGCGTCAGTTCAATTCCATTGTTACGTTACATGGTAGATCATCAGATAAATGTTTGGTTTATAATTAATTGTATAACTGCATGACGAGCGATGTGTTTTGTATTCAATGGGAATTTTGTCAACCCCATGGATAGAAAATAATCGCCTTACTAGTTTGTCGGATCAAGAAGAAGAAGAGGAAAGAAAACGGAAGGTATTTAGACGGGGGCTCATTTCATTGATATTCATATCGCTAGTATTATTATTAGAAAAACTTAATCGCGGCGTCTACGAGATTCATTTAAAAATTAACCCATTTTTAGGCAGATAATACATCTTCATTTAAGGCGTGTGTGTACAAAATAGTTTTAAGTATTCGGTCTTGTTTTACTTTCCAGAATTTAATCACTTGTAAGTTTCTGTGGACATGGCAGATGTATACCATTTTTGCACGTAAGGAGTAGTGTGCTTCGTAGAGCACAATTGTGGAAAATTTCAGTCTTCTAACTCTTTATAATTTTCGAGTAACGAGCAAATATCTAAAAATTTTTCTTAAAAAAGGACGAGTTGCGTTCAGTTTGCGTTCCCCTGTACGATTCCGCTGCGATCGATTTGGCGCATTTTTAATATCAACCTGTGTGCAGAAACTTCCAATGTTTCTACTAAATTTCAAGTCGATGTCTTAATTTTTGCAACCAGGAGGGTGCCAACAGCACACACATCACACAGACACACAGACTAAGTCAATTTAGAATTTTGTACTGATCAAGAATACTTGGAGAGATTTACGGATTATCTTTGGGTCCAATTTGCAATTTAATCGACATATAACAGTAATTGTGAGCAAATCTAAATCACTTTTTGGGATTCATGAAGAGATGATGTAACGTATTTTGTGATCCTTATATAAGTAAACGATTATACAGGGCTGTAGCTGTAGGCCGAAGTTAAAGTGTGCCTCGGCTATTTGGGCATCCACTTATATGTGCCACATTAAAATTTCGACGCGTGGTTTAGGATGGCATTCTTATCGCATCGTTCCTGTATATAAACACATATTAAAGATAGTCCATCTTCCCACTCTAGAAACAAGACGTGAGTGCCTAGGCGTTTTATTTATGGCTAAGTTACTCAGGGGGCAATTTATGTTCCGTGGAGTGGTTTAGTGAAATTTCTCTTTACATTCCTAGCAGAATGTGTCAACTAGGTTGTCGCTTCACGATAATTTTTGAATCCTTTGTGAAGCGTACAATGATATTTATTTATTATTATATTTGTTTGACGTGCCTGAGGATATCTTTCCTATGAAACCCTTTAATGCTGCTTGTTACGACACCGATTTCAAAACGTTTTTTGCTTGTGTTTTATTCCCTTTTTA